CTTTTATTATATAGGATTCTCTATACATTTCTGTACATTTATAATTTTCATAATAATTATAAAAAGTATTTTTAATACCTAGCATTTGTGAGGGTTTGAGGAAATGACCGTTCCATACATATTGTTGGTTGGACTGAAAATTGGTATAAGCTTTAGAGAGGACAATTTAGAATATATAAATTTTGTTTTAAAATATACATATCCTTTGTCATAGTAATCCCATCAGTAAGAATGTATTCAATGAGTCATGACACAAGTATAGAGGATGTGTCTACTAGTACTAGTATGAGAAGTTTATTATAGCATTATTTACAATATAAACAAATCTGAGACAAGGAAAATGGTTGAATACATTTTGACAATATAGTATATATTATCTGTGACAAAGAATACTATGTTACTGTTAAAAAGAACAAAGTAGGCGCATATTTATTGTATAGGTTTGCTATGGCTGCCATAAGAAAGTATCACAGACTGGGTGGGTAGGTTCCAGTGGTCACCAACCTTTCGGACCTCACAGACCACTGGTTGGCAACTGCTGGAAACAACTGAAATTTATTTTCTCATGGTTCTGGAAGCTAGAATTCTGAGATAAGTACTTCATGCCATTCCCTTCTGGCCTGTAGAGTTTCTGATGAGAAATCTGGTGTCAGCCTTAAGGGAGCTCCTTTAGGTAACAGTTTGCTTTTCTCTTGCTCCCTTTAAGATTCTCTTTTTGTCTTTAATTTTTGGCATTTTATTTATGATGTGTCTGGGCGTGGGCCTGTTTGGAGTCTTCTTGCTTGGGGGTTCTCTGTGCCTCTTGAACTTGTGTGACTTTTTCCTTTACCAGGTTAGGGAAGTTTTCTGCCATTATTTCTTCAAACAGATTCTCTATCTCTTTCTCTCTTTCTGCCTTTTCTGGAACAACTGCTATTCTAATACTGTTACGTTTCACATTGTCCCACAGCTCCCTTACACTGTCCTCCTGTTTTTAAATTGTTTTTTCTTTTTGGTTGTCTGGTTGAGTGATTTTTTTCAGCCCTGCCTTCTAATTCACTGATTCGATCCTCAGCTTCCCCTAATCTTCTGTGTATTCCTTCCAATGTGTTTTTTATTTGTGCTATGTCATTCTTTATTTTCCACTGTTCTTTTTTCATAGTTACTATATCTTTTCTCATGCTGTTGAGCATCTTTACCATCATTACACTGAACTCTGCTTCATATAAATTTCTTTTTTAAAATATATTTTTATTAATTTCAGAGAGGAACAGAGAGGGAGAGGGAGATAGAAACATCAATGATGAGAGAGAATCATTGACTGGCTGCCTCCTGCACACCCCCCACTGGAGATCGAGCCTACAACCTTAGCATGTGCCCTTGACTGGAATCGAACTCGGGACCCCCTAGTCCACAGGCCGACATTCTATTCATTAAGCCAAACTGGTCAGGGCCATATAAATTTCTTATCTCTGCTTCCTTTATCTCTTCTTCTGAAGAATTCTCTTGTTCTTTCATTTGGGGGTTGTTTTTTAGTCTTCTCATTTTGGCTGTCTGTTTAGGTTTGTATTAGGTAGGTCCTCTATGCCTCTCAATTTCTAGTGCAGGACAGTATCAAATGGTGTTTCTGACTAATTAGATCAGGCAAAGACTCAAAGCCTCCAGAGGCTGATTCTGCCTACAGACTGATAGGATTCCAACTTGAATTGTTCCCAGGTATTCGTTCTCAGGTGTGGTGAGAGTGTTTTTCAACAGGGTGGGGCAGTTGCTTCTGCCTAGAGGCTAATTGTTATTTTTAGTGTCTTAAGTGGCCTAAGGGCAAGATGTTTCTCAATAGGGTGGGTCAACTGTCTTCCCCCCAGGAAAAGCAAATATCTATGTGGAAAAGATCTCTTCTGCTATGTGAGGGAATGACTCAGCACAGGAAATGTGTGTGTGTGGGGGGGGTGTCTGCCTTCTGATCTCCAACCCCTGAGTCCCTAAACCTGGCTTCAGCTCACACATCTCCAGTCCACTCTGCCCTCCCTCTGCCAGAGCACAAGGTGGGTGACTCCAGAGGGAATTTTGTGTATTGGCCCTTTAAGAGGGTGCCTGAATTTCCAGTCATCACTCCCTGGCAGACAGCAACTCTGCTGTTTTTCACAGTCAGGTGTTATGTGGGTATCCTTCTGAGTTCTGGTGCTCTCTGCTGGGGGGACCGGCTTGGGGATTAGATCCCGGAGTTCTCAGTGGCAACCCCCCACAGTTGGGATATCTCTCTGGGACCTCAGTTGCTGTCTGTGGGTGCCCAGCCAGTCCTTTTGCTCCTCTGGCCCTCCCACCAGTCTCTATGTGGTCTCCACTTTCAGTCCTCAGATATCAGGATTCTCTCCAGCAAGTCTTTCATTGATTATTCAGGAAGTTTTTCTGTATTTTAGTTGTAATTCCATGTTTCTGGGAGCATGTCCATGCAGCATCCACTTACTCTGCCACTATTTTTAATCTCCCCAAATTTTCTCTTCTTATAAGGTCACCAGACTTATTGGAATAGGAAACACACTAATGACCTTTTTAAAACTAATTTATTTCTTTAAAGATCCGATCTCCAAATACAGCCACCTTTTGAGGTACTGGGTGTTACGACTTCAACATGTGAAATTCAGGGGGACACAATTCAGTCCATAACATTTGCTGCCATTGATAGATGTCCATGATTTTTAGGCTAAAAAAAAAAAATCAAGGAGCAGAACAACATGTATGGTATGGTCCCCTCTCCCCCCTTTTTAAATTACAAAAACAATCAAAACAAACACCCTGGTATATGTTTACGTGCAGTTTGGGGTATATTGAAAACATTCCAGAAAGATAGATATCCAATTGTTAATAACGGTTCCCTGAGGAATAAAACTATGAAAGAAAGGGAGGGACAGATTTCTATTCTTTTTACAAGCATGGGTTATTTTTGTAATTGGAAAATTTTAGCTTAAAAAAATATAGCTACAATGTCGACACCCTCCCCCTCAAAAGTAAAAATGTTATTCCTTGAAAATGTCCTTATTGAAATGGGGTTAGGGACTGGCATTCAACCCCAGGTAGATTCACAAAGAGAAAAAAATTGGAAGAAAAACAACTAAACACAACACCTTAGCACCATCTTAAACATTGGGGAGGGAGAGACACAGGATGGCCAAGATTGTCTTTGTCTGCCAGTTCAGAAGAATGAGGGGCTCAGGGTAAAAAAAAAAATTGTTAGAAAATAAATATTTCTTGTGTGTCTGAATTTTGAGAATCATGTGGTTATACACACTCTTCTCCTTTAATTCTCTTGTAATCCTATTATTTTGATTTTACAGTTGAGTAAAGAGCTTTTTAAAATATATATATATATTTTAATTTATTTCAGAGAGGAAGGGGGAGAGGGAAAGAGAGATAGAAACATTAATGATGAGAAAGCATCATTGATCGGCTGCCTCCTGCACGCCCCTACTGGGGTCGAGCCCATAACCTGGGCATGTGCCCTTGACTGGAATCGAACCTGGGACCCTTCAGTCCGCAGGCCGATGCCCTCTCCACTGAGCCAAACCAGCCAGGGCGGAAAGAGCCTTTTAAGGTTAATTAAAAGGTCACATAACTAGTACTAGCAAAACTATTAACTCACATTTGAATCTCCCTCACCCTGAAGTATGTGCTAGCTACTACTCTCTGCTGCTTGGAATAGGTTTTGCCTCCTCCCTACCACCTGCATCCAATCTCTACTCCAAATCTTGCTAATTTAGGCAGCATCCCTTCCTCTAGGAAGGCACTGTTGAGCACCCCTCCCCCCAAGTTTAGGTGGCCCTCTCTATGCCTCCCTAAGTTCCCTGACCCCATCTGCATCACAGACCATGTGGAGTCTAAGGAACTCTGTGTATGATTTTTCTCCTCTACCAGACTGTGAGCTCTTGAGGGTAGCAATTAAGTATCGCCCCTGCCTGACACATTGTAGTAGGTGCTTTAGTTCTGCAACAGAAGACTATTATTTATATTTGATTGTTTCCTCACTAAACTCTGAACTTCATGAAGTTAAACAACACGTCTGGTTTTATGCACCATGAAATCACTGGAGCCTAAAACATTGCTTGGCACAGGCTAGGCTTTCAATAAATATTTTTCAATAAGTGAATAATTCTATAAGTAGTCTCCTCTCTTTACTGTGTCTCTGACTCACATCCCGAGGGGGAAAAAATAGCAGCTTCTTGACATCCTTTTTCTTGTAATGATTTAGTATTTTACATGATTTCCACGCTTCAGCATTTTAAAATTCGTCATTATTTTCCCGTTTTCATCCTCACAACTCACATGGAACATGATCTCCACTATTTGAAAGAGTAAGATTTTTCGTCTGCCTTACATTTATCCTCCTATTGCAAACTGCGAGCGATTCCTCTCAACCTCCCTCACGAGGGGAGTGGGAGTGGGACTTGGAGCTGAACAATTAACCTGCCATTTACGAGCTTGCTTTTCCCTGGGATAATTGCTGAGTTACACGTTCCTGGGCGTGACCCTCTCACGACAGAAGCGCAACAAGTGGATTGATGACGTACGACTACCACTAAAGATGTGGAATACTAGGAGGGTTAAAACAGTATTTGCTAGGCAACGTTCTGATCTTTTAAAAAATATACGCTACAGGCTCTCATTAGAAGAACAAGAAAAATATGTTCCAAATTACTTTCCAGGCAATTTGCCTGGATTAACAGTCCCACAGACAAAGAGGAGGACCAAACGCTCTCTCCCACAGACGTCCGCAGCCTGAGCCCGCGCCCCTGTGGGCGGGGCCAACGGAGCCTCCCGCGCCCCCAAGGAG